GGGGGGGGTTCTTTTTGTTATAGCTCTTCACTCTCCTCCGCCTAACAACGCCGGGCAAGTTCGTCTCCTCACCCCATCATAATACTCAGCCTTTGCACCCGGAACAGTAGGTGTGGAAGAACAAAAAGCAAGAAACACACTACACAACGGACGCAAACACAACCTACACCAACGCCGTCACCATGTCCGGTGTTATCACGACCACTTTGGACCCGTCAGAGTCTTCAATAAAGTTTGTCCTATGCAGGACCAATACCACACCAGTCGCCACACACTGAATCGTTTGCACACGTCCTTTGCTTCTGCTTTCCGAAGTGAAACTCACCGTCTGCGCAGAGGAAAAATGATCATGAAACCATACATCGACGCCAGGACGTATTTGCCAACCGTTCACCACAATTTCCTTAAGCGCACGACTCTCCTGGTTGACAGAGCATGTGTGCACGCCCCCTGGCACTGAACCAAACGACAGTCCAGCGGGGCACACAGAAGGAGAAGCTTTATCATCCATACACCGCTGGTTTGATACTTCCTCCTCTTCTGTTTTCTTCACCTGAATTTGCTGACTCTCGATACCGCCACCGACGGTTGCACCTATACTTCTTGGGGGAGATTCAAGCACATAAACGTGCTGCATCTGTGAGGCATCGACAACGTAGACAGGGATGCTAAAGATGAGATCCGCCACCGTTACGTTTGCGGTGCGTAAACCCAAGTACACAGTTGTCTGATTTTCAAGGGCTCCTGTGCGGGGATTTTGACGCAAAACTCGGTGCTTCACCTCGTATATCCGCATTGTCACAGCATCACCCCCAGCAAGGCGTACCACGCGCCCCAGTTCCACCACCAACGCTTCATTTTTGCCCCCAGCGCTCCTCTTGTGCCTGCTCACCGGCGGCATGCGGAAGTAGTAGTCCTCACCCTCCAACACCGGTGGCGCCTCAGCACACGAGGCAACCATCACCCGACTCGCCCCTCGAACTGCAACTGCCGTCGATGAGGGCACGGCTTCTGACTCTTTCAGTTTTTGTTCCATTGTCTCCTCTTCTTCCTCCTCCCGGGGGTGCTTGACACCAGACACTGGGCTAGCAGGAATTGAATTTCTGATCGCGTCTATGCTATTTTGACCATGCCGCGATGGGGGAAGTGCAAAAAAAAACTCGTGGATGCGGTGCACCAACCATGGCTTTTCTAGCAATGCCACAGACGACATACTCGGAGTTATATGCGCCCGCTTCCCAGGAGCAACGTAGACGTAATGTGGAAGAGGGTCCCCATCTTTTGGCGGCTGAAGCGTAACTGTGCCTCCACACACTTGAAGGAAAAATGTGGCATCAGCGTCGTCCCCTGTGAGGTAGATCAGCTTCTTGCTAAGAAACCGCCCTTCCTTCGACGAAAGCAGCCGCCATCGCACACACGCGTCACTGCCTTGCCCAATCAAGTCCTTCGGTTTGGGAATACGCACATGTTGATACTCTTCTGCGACACCTGTTCCAAGCTCTTCCAGCCACTTCAGAGAAATTGCAGAAAGGCCCATAGCGTGTGCCAATGTCACTATAATTCCATCGTCTTTCTCCACATCCTCATCGGCAACGACAAAAAAAGACACGCCCGGTCCTGCTCGCCGCTGGCCAGTGAATGACATTAATGGACTGCGCTCCAGTTGTAAAGGAGATTCCACTACAAAAATCCCTCGTTCCTTTAGCTTGGTGAGAACAGAACATTTTGCCGCTAGGCGTGACTGCGCTGCCGGCGTCACATAAAGTGAGAAAAACGAGGGACCCACCCATTCATCTTTGTCCAAGGGAGTTAACCCCAACTCCGCCTTCAACGAAAGCTTATGCGAAGTCTCATTCTCCATAAGTTCCACCAACTGCGTCGCTGTCATGACAGAATTTGACTTCGAGGAATTCCATCTCTTCATACCATTTCTCTTCCCTTTCTCTTGCGGTAGTCGAATTTCCCGCAGTTTGACATGCAATAAGGAACCATCTCCATCCCAGCGAATTTGCACGTAGCCGTTCTTTTCCTCCTCCGTAATTACTGCGTCAAACCACTGACACCCCCATCTTCCTTGTACTCGCATGCCCTCTGTGTATTGGGGCCTTGCAGGGCCTATCGTAGAAAGCGATCCCTCAGCAGCCTGCCGCCTAACAGCTGTGACTCGATGAAATAATGGAGTATCTTCCTCTACGCCGCGACCATTACGTATTTCCAGTAAAACTGACGGCAAATATGAACTATCTTCCTTCTCTTCTTTACCTACCCCTCCACGCCCCATCACATTATCTTGGGAACACGAATCTAAAAGGCCTTCACCAGTAACATCAGGAAGTGAGGCGCCCTTACCACAACCTTCATCGTTATCTTCTGGAAATGTGTATCCCGTGAAGCCAACCACAACCCCCACATCCTGCTGCTCCTGAGCGTTCCAAGAGCGGAGGCAAACAGTGTTTCCTCCTTGACATGGCGAACACTCCTGCATAACTAAAGTGGGCGCACAATCTGTGGTAGCCGGAGACACACCTTGAGGCCCAAGTATGTGACTCTCTGGAGTAGGAATAAGGCGTGGGCTTGAGAGGTCACGCTCCATTCTCGTCAGACTTTGCTTCGAATTATGAAGATTAAGCATGCCAGTGTTGCGGTAAATAACGCCACGAATACTGACAACTTGTTCCTCTTCTTCCTCCAGTGTACCTCTCGGAAAAGAATATAGCGGGGGTTTGCACTCAGAGTACTCACCCATGCAGTGATGCCTTTCCTCAGCATTGAAATCCTCTTGGAGCTGAGAGGTTTGCTGCAGAACCTCCACCGGGTTCCCAGCAGTCAACGATGACGTCACTGACGACACGCCGCCCCGCTCCCTTCTCTCAACTCCCTCCTGACTATCATCAAGTTTCAATTCAAGGAGTGGGTCACGTGTAAACGCGACGCGCGACCGTGGAACAAAAAACGCCATGACATCCTTCTCCCACGCCCGTCTAGCAACAGCCAACTCCACACCAGGCAACTCATTGCCAAACTCCAATCTCCGTGTAGGCGTCACCTTATCCGACGAGTCAGCACCTTCTGGAGCCATTCGCACCCGCCCGCCAACGCCATTGCACTCAGCATCAGCCAACACCATATCTAAGAAACATATACACTAAGCAGAGCAAAACAAAACAAAAAAGGCCCCCTTAATACAAACAACGTTCTAACAAATAACAACGATAGGTTAACCAGGACAAAGAAAAAGCAAATAAAAAAAACCAAAGTACTAACTGCGCACTAAGTCCTTGCAAAAGCGTGCAACCACACACCAAATAATAAAAAACACACGCAAAGTAACTAGAACATATGTATGTAAAAACTGCCGAGAACAAATAATATCACCAAGACCATAAAAACAATAGCACATCGCTCAAAAGCACACCTTGCTAAGCACTACAGGCAGCTCACCCGAAAAATATTTCCTTCCACACCTCTCCCAGCATAATATACACAACTCCAAAACGTTGAGGCGTCTAAATACATAATCTGCTCTACAAAAACAAGACATAGACGCA